CTATGGGTTGGGCACGTGCTATGATTGGACAACAAAGGGCAAAGTGGCAGGTAGGAGAAGGCCGTTCCACATAATTAAGTGCATCATATCCAGTACACGGCAGGCTTCCTAGTGGAAGTGATGCTGTAGAATGACTGGGGTTGGTGGAGAACCATAGAGGAACCCAACAGGTGGGGCTGGATGAGGAGGACATACCTTGGAGTTCTTGCCCCCGCTGCGTGTGGACTGGCCGGAGAAGGTGCGAGTGACCAGCTGCTCAGGGGTGGAGGGGGATTTGGAGGTGTCAGACTGCTCTGAGCCTTTCTCCACCATGGTGTCCGCCTCGACGTTCTGCAGAATGGGAGATCGACAGCGCTTCCGCAGAACCGGAGAGCAGGCAGGGGAACTCCGGTTAGAGTTACTGGCGGTGCTGGAGAGACAAGAGCCATACAGATCAAGACTATTGTTTCAATTTCTCAGAGAGCGACAACTTAAACCCCTAGAAAGATAATCTGTCTGCCTCATTTCTTTGTAACATGCATTTGGCCATTTTAGATCATAACATGAAAACACTCATTCCCTTAGGTGTTTGGAGCTTCTAAACAACATTAAAACTACCAATGAAAACAACATAAACAAAGTAAGTTTCTTACATTTTAGTGTATATATAATTAAAATACACTTAACGTTATTATTGCATACTGTTTTATAATGTACTGCACTAAAATTATGTGCAAATAGTATCTGCCACATAAATAGCATCAAACTATTATTTACACTTTGTGCAAAAATAAAATACTGCTATTTTTATTTAGTGTAAATAGCATCGCAGCTTTTTTTTCAAAAAACATCTGCCTTATTATCAGTAATACATTAAATAAACAAATACAAAAATTAAATGCATAAACACAACAGTCTAAATTTATTCAAATCAGATTTGTTTTTGTATCATTGATAATCAATTATATATTTTTTTGTTAACATTTTGAATAAAATGTTCTTATTATATTTTCTGCTTTCATTTTAATTTTAAATAAAGTTTTAATGCATTTTTGTGTTTTGTCATTTTTTTTTAAATGTCTATATAGTTTTTATTACGTTTTAGTTTATTTAGCTTTAATTATTTTAATACTTTAACTTAAACTAAAAAAAAAAAGAAAAAAAGACAAATGCTGCCTTGGCAAGTTTTATATTTTATTTACTTCGAGGTAATGTTTTTTTTTTTTTTAATGGTTTTAGATTTAGTTTTAAAAAATGATAATAACCCTGAAAATGTGAGAAAAGAGAAAAATAGTCACATGTCTTAAGTAAAACAGATGTATTTAAGTTCAAATCAATTTAAATATTAAAATAAAATATTATAATATAAATACATTATTAAAAAAAACATAATGTCATAAAATATTACATATTATATTTGACCAAAACCAGTTAAGCACAAACATCACTGACAAAAAGCAAGCAATCTCAAGTGACAGAACAAAATAAACTCACTCCAAACACCAATAACCTAAAAATCCCCCACAAACGCCACTGACTTAAACAAGTCCACCTTTTAAACACCACTGACCTGAACAAGTCCACCGCAAACAGACACGTCATTATAGCAGGGATGGGCAGACGTTAATACACACAATAAACAACCGATAAACAAGCCAAACAGTATCAAAATCACCACAACTTCAGTATTGCAGCAGTTCCAGACATCAGCCTGCATCTGAACACACTTCATTTCTTAAGATAATGATCTCATCATATTAACACACATACACAATTTCACATGCACACACACCCTCGCTCACACGCTTACAGAAATATATAACCACTAACTACATGCTGACTTGTCTCTGTGGATGCTCGACTCTCTCCAGTTTCCAAAGGGAGCAACCTGGTCACATTATAGGCTCTTATGCAACACCTTACATCACTACTAGCCAATCAGAACTGTAAAACAAGGTCACTACACTATTCTACAATTTCAGCGAGGCCTTGAGCGTGTGTGTGTGTGTGTGTGTGAGTGGACTGATCACAGTGACTAGAACAGATAGCCGCCCGCTGTGGCCTGTCAGGTGCACTGCCAAAGATGCATGCTGATCATAGTGTCAGTCTAGCAATCTAACAGACAGCAGAAAATCACTGCTTTCATTGATTTTACATGCCAGGTGCCACCTAGCAGTGGCGGAGCCAGAGGGGTGTCCAGGGTGGACACTAGAGCCCGACCGATATGGGTTTTTTGGGGCCGATATTGATACCGATATTAGGAAGTAAAAAATCGGCCGATATTCTTTGTGTATATTATAGTACAGTATCAGTCAAAAGTTTGGACACTCTCCCATTCGAGGGTCCAAACATTTGACTGGTACTATATATAGAATACAGTATATACATAAACAGAATATATATACATAAAC